AAATTGGATGAAACCCAAAAGAATTGTGTGTGTATATATATATATATATATATATATATATATATATATATATACATTATATATTATATATATATATATTATATATTATATAATATGGATAATTTCAGAGAGGTTATAAATCTCAATGTAAGAAACAGAGCAAATAATAATTAATTAACAAATCGGAGACCTCAGAAAGCCATGGTAATATTTTATTTTGTGAGACTGATAAAATTTGATTTTGTCTCTTCAGACCTGGTGGTCTCAAAACAAGATTGGTCTGGTGAAGCAAAATTGAATTTTATCAGTCTCACAAAATAAAATATTACCATGGCTTTCTGAAGTCTCCGATTTTTTTTCTATTTTTTATTTTTTTTTTTTAATTATATATAGGAAAAAAAAAATATCTTGAAATGTTTTGCCAGCAATCTGTCACCAGAACAATTTTATTTGGATAAACCAAAATCAACATTATTGAAATGAAATATCTTTGACAGAAATGTTGCTAGTCTTTTTTGCTATTCTATCGTTATTTTCATGGTAGATGCTCAGGGTAACTTCATTTCTTGGTCTCACAAGTTCAGACCTTCACAACTCGCGTCTGCCAGTGAGTCAGTAATATTCAATGCTTACATTGAAATTTAAATAATATTCAAAATTTCCTGCAACACATCTGCAGTCAAGCCAGCCCCAAATGTAATGCCCTATATTTCTTTCGATCTTGTCAGTATGGTTGAGCGTGGGGGCCATCTGGTCCAAGTAGTGCATGTCCTTCATATACCATCACCCAGGCCTGCACTCTAGACAGCTCAGAATTTTGACCAAACAGGGTGCTACCATTATCATATGAGATTAACATATGCCTATGTTGATACAGACCTTGTTATGTGCTGAACTAAAATTAAAAGACAGTCTAATATAAATTAGACTGTCATCTAGACATGAACACTACTGATTAGTATAGGAAATTTCAGCATTTTTTACTTATTTTTTTATTTTATTTATTTATTATATTTTTTTATTTATTTTTTGTGAAAAACACATTGATTTGAAAATTCTTGCAAAAATCAAATAACTGTCAGATTTTAACGAAGCTTTCAGGACTTATTCGGAAATGAATGAAATTATTTTAGAAATGTTATTTAATTTTATGAAATTTTAATAACTTAAATTTTGATCTGCTTAATGTTTATATTAGTTAAAAGCAGAACTCCTTGGAGAATTTAAATCAGTAGTTTCTTTTTGTAAAACAGGACTCCCAGTTACTGAAAATCTGCTCTGAACAGCAAAATAAAAAATGTAATAAAACTAAAACATTATTTAATAAGAAAAGCTTTTAATTGTTTTTATGAATATATGTTATGGACACTATTGTCTTAAAATTTTATTTTATTTTTTGATGAATAATGAATTTTTACAAGAATTATTTTTAATTTTTTTTTTTTAAATTTTAATTATAATTTATAAAGTTTAAAGTTATGTCTTAATTTGTCTAGATTAGGTGATATTGTTATTAAGTAAAAATATTTACTAATCATAAATAGAAAAGCTTATTACAATATAATGAACCCCTATATTTTAAAAAGAATTAAAAAATTTTTTTTTTGTATGTGTATAAACATGCTGATTTTTGTAAATATGGATGTCCACACATATCAGAAAATAAGAATGATAACTTGAGTAAATTTAAAACCAAACTACCTGAAATTCAATAAAACATTAGATTATAGAGAATATTTTCCTAAATTTTTAAGTTTACAGAGTAGTTAAAAAATCATATAAAAATGTATTCATGTTATATTCCTCAAGTTATTTTTACACATATATCTACCATAGGAAAAAGGTCAGATGATCTGTCTCTCAGTCAAGCTGTCAACACCTTAAATAAAGAGCTACCACCATATTAAAAAATGCATTTCTGCAATATGTTAAACTTAAAGTAATACTTGGTCCAAGTCAGATAATTAAACTTCAGTTTCAGAAAAGTATATTTTATTTTTGAAAGATTTTTTAACAAAGGGGATTAAACCTTGATGACAGCTAAAAATGGTGTTAAAATCAGCCATTTTAGCAATTTCAAAATGAGAACTCCTTCCAGTCAATTTAAATTAGGTTTGAAATGGAGCAAAGCATTTTGCTTATTGGAAATATTAAATTTAATCTATTAGCTTGAAATTAAAACCAAAATAAAAGCATTAAGAATTTTTTTTTTTTTCATTTTTAAAAATTCATGTTAAACATTAGATATCATGTTTCTGTGAAAGTAATGCTTTCAAAAATTAAAATAACTTTTTCGTTAATTAATTCTATCATAATGTAACTCAATAACTCATATTAAATGCATAAAAAATGCATGTCTCAAATAAATGAAAAGTAAATTAAATGAATACAAAGTCTTTCTGATGCCACACAATAAAACAAAAACAAATATTTCAAATCAATATGAAAATATAATTTATTATAAGAAGAAAACACTGAAAATTTTATTTAAATAATTTCTGAATTATTTGCCTTCAAAAATAAATCTGTTTGGGTTTTCATAATTTTATGCCAGTGGGAAAAAGAAATAGAATTTCAAAGTTTACCTAATTTTCTTGGGCCAACATGAAGCCCATTTTAAAAATTTCTCAGGCCCACTTGTGAATCTAAGGGCTCATGTTGAGAAACACTGGTCTAAATGATAAAATCCTACTGGACATTGTCTTTTTTTTGAGACCTGTAAAAACAAATTCATTTCAAAAACTTTTAAAGAAATGCTGAATGTAAAGTACACCAAGCTGTATCCATTATTAAATGAGGTGGGTTATTTGAACAAATAAGCAATGCTGAATCATCGGCCAGGTTTAGCCATACATTTGGATTATTTTCATTATCAATCTCTTTTTTATTTCTATGTTTAATCAGCTTAGGTGTGTGTTTTTTTTTTTTTTTTTGCACAACTCTCTTTTTCTAATGTGCTTTTTAATTTACAATTGGGGGATTAATGGATATTAATTTATGAGATAAAAAACAAGTATCTACTCATTATTAAAAGCTAATTATCCATTTGTTTCTTGGGTATCATATAACAACAGTTTGCTTTTACCATTTGCTGGTCACTTGTTATGCTTTGCTGAATAATGTTATGAGGAATTATTGGAAAGCTCTGACAAAAAAAAAAAGGGATTCTAAAAAAAATTGTAATATTTTGCTAAATAGCAAAATCTATTTTATGTTTTTCTGCATAGGGTTAGGGAGGTATTGCTGGAAAGCTCTGACAAAAAAAAGGGATTCTAAAAAAAATTGTAATATTTTGCTGAATAGCAAAATCTATTTTATGTTTTTCTGCATAGGGTTAGGGAGGGATTGCTGGAAAGCTCTAACAAAAAAAAGGGATTCTAAAAAAAAAAATTTAATATTTTGCTGAATAACAAAAACCTATTTTATGTTTTGCTGAATAGCATTATGACAGATTGCTGAAAAGTCCTCATCCTGATGAAAAAGGTATTCTCAAAAGAAAAATACCCTTCGGTCAGATTTTGGGAAATACCTTTGGCCAAGAACTTTTCAGCACCCTCTTGTAATTTTTTTTTTTTTTTTGGTCTGGATGTTGCAATAAGCATGTTAAATTTACAAACTGAATGAATTAAAACTTTTAATGAATGAAAGTTAATAGACCAAACTAAACCACCATAAAGACTTTATATTACTTTTTTTCTTAGTACAGATCAGAAATTTGTGTGAAATTTGACTTTGAACAGATTATTTTCCCAATCTTTTATTGATTGACTGTTTTAATCTGTTTTGTTTAAAAAGTATCAACTGGAATTATTTAAATAAAAAAAAAAATAATGTAAACATGCTATGACATTGTGACTTGTATTACACCCCCCCCCCACTACTGGGACTTCGATTAATGTTCTTGTGATGTACAATCAAGTGCATCGATCAAAGAAAGACTTAGCCTGTTTTCACCAAATCAGAATTCTGGGTTGTGATTTAAGCTGAATAAAATACTAACTTGCTGACAGATTAACTTCATCTACATATGGACTATTAATAGGATTATTGCGAGGTCATATTTCTGGTCTTTGAAGCTTGTTATATTTGACAGATATTAATACATAAACACTTTTATTTCTAGGCACTCACATACTCTGGTTAGTTGCACTGAGGACTACATTAGGTTTTTGGTCTATTGTTTAATTCTAGTTTCAAATATTTTTTTTTTCTTTTTCTCTGCCACTTTTCCCTTAAGCCATGTGTACTTTTTTAATTGAAGTCGACAATCTGAACTTAAACCCTTTGGGCATGAAAAGGAACAAGTTATCAACCTTTAGAGATTCTTATCTTGTTAGTAGTTTAGTGGACTTAGTATCTTGACAGAAATGAAGACACTGGATAGCAGGATGGTTTTATTTATTTTATTATTTTTTTTTTTTTTTTTATCCATAATGGACTTACCTTCTTTATTGCTATTTGAGAAAAGAGTAAGTTTTTTGTGAATTTATTTTTATTTATTTGTTTTGTTTTTTTTTCTTGTGACAGTTTTTGCATGCACAACAGGGGTGTTGAATGTTTAAATATTGGTTATTCAGCAAAATAGGCTTTTATTAAAGATTTTATTTTGAATTTAAATTCCCTTATATATAATGAATTTAATATTCTTAGTGAAATTCATTCCCAGAAAATTAAATTTATAAAAGAAATATCATAATTTTGCTTTTAACCTGTTTAATTAGCACATTTAGGATTGATTGATTTATTTGCAAGGGGACTTATTAATCTTTTGCTGGTTATTTAAAGCTAGAAAATATTTTTAGATTGTAAGAATTCTTTTGAAGAAAATAATGATTCACTGGTACAAGTCCTACTAACTAACTGATAGCTGGGGTGAATTCATATCTTTCTCAATGTCATTTGCATGTAATTGAATATAATGAACCTGACTTGAATTGTAACTTGATTCTCCAACTCTCAATTCCAAGCTGTTATCTATTACACCACCTGCACATCCAAACTTACAGCACTTGGTATTCCCAAGTAGTCACCCATCTAGGTGTACTGACCAGGCTCTATGTTGCTTAACTTTGGTGATTGTAAGAGAACAGGTATAAATCCTGGTATGTTTAGGAGGTGCTGGTATTGCTGTGTGATAATTTGACAGAATTTTATAGAAAAATTTTGGCAATGTTTAACCTTTGTACCTGCAAAAATGGTGCATTAAAAAGATGGTTATTCCCTTGACACCACTATTAGTGTATACACTCCTTTGGCAATGTTTGTTTTACAAGATTGTATAAATATGTGAACCAAGTGTATTGTGATATTTTTTATTTTCTTTTTATAAAGATTTACTAGTTACCATTTTATAAAGAAATAAATATGAAAAATATTTTTATTCAAAAATTCATAATTAATATTACAAAATTATGTAAGAAGAGGGGATGCTTTTAAATTATTTGAGTGAATTTATGTGGTGATAACAAATGAAAGAAATACCTTAAAAATGCATTTTTTTTCAAAATTTTTAATTACAGTTACTCATCATTCAGTGTTTATTTAAATTTTCTTTACAGACATTTTATAAATTTATGAATAAAATTTTTTTTATATTTATTCCTTTATAAAAATGGTAAATAATAAATATTTCATTATGGTTGATTCACATATTTTTATAATCTTGTATATATAAAATTATTCTTGTAAATAAAGAAACTAACAAATAAATAGTGTTTAATATCATTGTTGTCAATTCTCAATAAAGAAAATATCTAAACTTACTTTCATATATTTGGGTTTTAGGTTAGATAAACGTTGCCAAAACTAAACAAAAATTATTATTGAAGCATTATTGACTTTATCATGTTTTTCTTTTAAAGAAAGAATAAATTTTAGTGTTTTGTTTACTATTTATATTTGAACTATTGTCCTCATTCGTCGTCGTTGTTGTTATCACAACATTTTGACCGTTGTGCCTCTGGCTTTTATCAGGTGTTTTATTTAAAAAGGATTTTTATTTGCCATGAAAAACATTTTTGTGCCCATTTTTATAAATAAAGCTCTTTATATTTTTCATTTTGAAAATTCAAAAGGAACCAAGAGAGATTTTTTGTAAGCATTTTCATATTTATAAAAAATTTCTATTGGTTCTGAATTAAAATGATCAGAATTCACAATTTTTTTTTTTTTTTATGTCTGTTTCTATTTTGTAATCACCTAATTTTGTTTTTCTTTTATTTGTAAATTACTATCTTAAAAGAACTAAAATTTGTTTTCATTAAATATAGAATTAGAGTTTACGAACATAAACCGTCATTGACACCAGAAATAATTACTGATGAAGCAAAGGTGTTTGGAATATGTGCATACAAAAAAAATATAAAATTATTTAGAGTTTATGAAAACTGTTATATAGTATATACTTGATTAACTTTTCTGTAAAACACAGGCTTTTTATTTATTCATTTTTTTTTTAAGTATAAAAAAAAAAGCTTTTGTTAGTAACAATTACTTCTATAATTTCTATCCGACTTTCTGGGATGAGGAATTATTTACATAATGCCTCCTGGCTTTTGCCCCCACACCTCCTACCAATATACCCCTGATGAATATTGGAGGACACACTAAGCTAAACATTGTGATAGCAACAACAAAAGTGGGGGGGGGGGACAATAGTCCAAATATAAATAGTGTAAATACCTACTTCTGTGTTCTATAACAAGATGAGCCTTCGGAAATGATGTGCTTCTGTCGTCTCATCTATTCTATATCCATTTTTGTTTTTCCTCATGCTTAATATTCTTATATGGCTTTTCTTGTTCAGAAAGTGTAATTGAATCTAGCACTAGAAGATCGATGGATAGCACAGACAATAGGTAGAAAAGCATCTTGGTCATAAGTGCATAGAATCATGTCTTTTGAAAACATGTGTTAGATGGCATGTACCAAATGAACCACCTTCTTTCTCTTTCTGACATATCTGACAGAGCATTAAAATGGCAGCTTTCAATCTAACAGAAGAAATGAAAAGGCATGTTGTACAACAATGACTTGGTTATCACTGACTTCTTGAAAGTGGCCATGTAGGTGGGAAAAAGACATGTGGCTCTGCATGGGTTTCATAAAGATACTACAGTGACTCACCTCTGAGGAGCATGAGCAATAACAGCTCCCTCGTACCTCCTCAACCTATTCCTGCAGTGCCTTGAAGTCAATGCCACTGCTTATAATAAAGTGCTAAACACTGTGGTAAAGCCATGGATCAGGCAGAATACTGCTGCCTCTTACATAGACAATGTGAATAAGGCATGGACAAGAAACCTTACAGTTTGTGGACTCTTTCAAAAATTTATTTATTTTTTAATGATATCTACTGCGGAGACTTGTGACTTTATCTCGAAGAATAACTTGCAGATATTTGGTTGATTGATTCATTTTCTTCAGCTTATCAACCCTTGTAAGTTATTTAAAGCCAGAAAATATTTTTAGATTGTAAGAATTTTTTCTTTATATATAGATAATAATGATTTTGTGATACAAATCATACTAATTAAACCCATAGCTGGGGTGTAGGGAGAAGAAACAGATTCATACCTTTCCCAAGGGTATTTGCATGTAAGGGAATATAATGAATCCAACTGGAATTGGAACTCAGTCCTCCAATTAACAATTCCAAACTATTATCCATTACACCACCTGCACATCCAAGCTGATAGTACCTTGTATTTCCAAGCGGTCACCCATCTAGCTACTGTACGGGCTTGCTGTTGCTTAACTTTGTCAATCGTACTGGAACTAGTGTTTCAAAATAAAATGACCGTAAGCCTGCAGAGTATAAATATGTAAAATAATAAAAAGAAATGAGAAAAAATAAAAAAACACACAAGAAATTTTACGTTTATTTAAAGTTTTTGATTTCTTGTTCATCTATTTTTGTAAATCAGATTTTAATTTTTCTCTGGCAGTTTTCAAGAGCATATTATTTTTCTTAAACGTTTTTTGTACTTTTTAAGATTTTAATCTAAAATGTAATATTATCTATTTAATGAATCTGAATCAACTATCATATTTTAGAATACATATGTAAATACATAATATTTTTTATTTGTGTCAGAATATTTTTAAACGGAATTAAACTGATCATTGCATAAACTAAAAATAGACGTAATGCGTTTGATTCAATGTGCAGTTTCCGTGAATATTTACTCCAGTTTGTGAAGAATCTTGAATTTCTCTGTTTACATAGTTTTCTAATATTTGTATTAGCATGCAGAGTAGATATTTTGCTAGATTCCACAATATTCTAGTCAGGTATGACGATAAACTACATCCGGCAGCAAGGCCTCTGATCGATAGATTGGAAATTTTGAGGAGCGTGTAACCACTTCTTAATTGCTGCTGATTCCAGAACCAGCCTGATCCAGAGTTGTAGCACCTGTTAGGGTCCCAGCTATGGGCTAGTGAACCTTCAAATAGTGAAAATATAAAAATACATTTTTATAGCAAAAATACCAGCAATATATTTTTATATAAAAAAAGTTACTGATTACATATTTATAGTATAAATAAATTTTATAGTAAAATGACCAACAATACATTTTATTGGTAGTTGAAGCCAAAATATTTAGGTTTTGGCATTAAATAACCCATAGAGGTGTTGATATGCTGCTGAACAAAATCAACTGACTAATCATAATATTCAGCTAGGAGGAACACCTAAAGTTATTTTTTTATACAAATTTCATCAGTTTAATTGTTTAAAGAAACACACTTTGGGACAAATGATAAAAGGATCATAGCTTTATAGACTTCAGTTCCTGCTTCTTTAACAAAATAGCTGAACCCCAGAGACTAAATACGAGGGTCATTCAATAAATAAGGTGAATTTTTCGGTACAAGGACTTTTAATACAGATAGAAGCTTTTTTTTTTTTTTTTTTTTTTTTCAACATAGTCTCCCAGCACTGTCACACACTTTTCCCATCTGTGCACAAGCTTCCGTATTCCCTAAGCGTAAAAATCTTTGGACTGATGTCTCAGCCAGTCGCTCACAACACTTTTGACTTCATCATCACTTTTAAACTTTGTGTCTCTCATGAACGCTTTCAAGGGACCAAACAGGTGAAAGTCTGAAGGGGCAAGGTCTGGGCTGTAAGGGGGATGAGGGAGCAGTTCCTAGCCCAGCTTGTTGATGGTCTGCACTGTTTGGGCTGCTGTGTGAGGCCTTGCGTTGTCATGATGCAAGATGACTCCTTCTGACTGATGACCCCTGCGTTTGTTCTTTGTCTTTCTTGACCTGCCTCAGCAGTTCACAGTAGTTCTTCTGTCAGACTGAATGAGGTCATAGACTGATTCAATCACCTCAGGAGACCTCACTTCTGTAGGCCTCCCAGGCCTGTCTTCATCCTCAACACTACTCCGTCCTTCTTTAAACAATTTAGCCCACTTGTTGACATTTTTTTGTCTGAAACATGTGGCACCATACACAGTTGACATTCTCCTATGAATTTCAACTGGTTTGCACCCTTCAGCAACCAAAAACTTGATAACTGACTGCTGTTCAGTCCTGGAGCATGCTTCTTGGTCGGCCATCTTTGTTAATCGCCAAAACTCTCAAAGTTTTTTTTAATCTGCAAAAGAAATTAAATCCATGTGAAAAAGAAGTAAAACACAAAAAAAAAAAATACAAAAAGTAAGCTTCTATCTGTATTAGAAGTCCTTATACCGAAAAATTCACCTTATTTATTGAATGACGTATAAGTGGGTAATTTGAACCAAGCCTGAACATTGGACAAGTGGCACTAATCTGAGGTCACCACTGGTCATTTTAAGGTCAGAATTAATTTTTCTAGTCAAAATGCATATTTTATTTAACATGACAGTGCATAAACTGGAATCACCTTAATTGTAGGGCATCTATGTAAACATTTATTTAAAAAAAAAAATAACCAGTGAAAGTGCTGGTGTCCAAGTAATTAGCAATACAGAAAATGTAATTGGCAAACTGATTTCAAACACAGTCAGAACTGCATTCACTTTGCACTGATGTCCTTGAGAAAGGCATCAATAGGAAGAAATGATGCAATTGTCATTTAAAATAAGGTCTTGATTGAAAAGAATTCATATGCAGTAATTATGTAAATTTATACAGCTTTATTTTTTTTTTCATTTTTAAGTATTATTTTTCTTAAAATTTTTTAATTTGTAAGAATAGAATTTCGTTTTAGGTCCTATATTTTATTTGTTTTTGCAAATTTTTATAAAAGTAAAATAGAACGATTTTTGTAATTGTTTGGTAGCAACATTTCTGATAAAATCAACATTCCTGAATCAACTGATGAATGTCATCAATTGATACAAAGTATAGAGAACTTAAGTGATTGTCTTCATTTTAGATATTTGACAATCTGAGTATTTCTGCTTATAACAATTACAACCATTTTATCTTGCCTTGGAATAATTGCTAAGCCAGCAAATCTCAGACAACATTACTACTGTAGTGAGTTTGATCCTCAAAGTTTACCTCAGCTCTATGCTTCTAATGTTTGTGTTTGAACTATGAAGTTTTATTTACTAATTTATATCTTTCTCTTCAATGGGAGTAGATAGGTTTGCCTATCAGCCAGTTCACACTCCTCCCTGATCTTTTAAACAAATGTAGAGGTTTATTTCTTGTTTGCTGTTTAGGATTGGATTGCCAGTTCATTTTAAAGTCTGCTTCAATTTTATACTTCTCATGTCTCCAACTGAGCTTTGAAATTTTATTCCCTATTTATTTTTTTCTTCTCTTAGTAGGAATAGATAGGTTTGCCTATCATCTGTTTCACATTCCGCCCTGGTCTTTCGTTTCCTGTTTAGGATTGGGTTTCTGGTTCCTTCAACTCTGTACTTCTGATGTTTCCACCTAAAATCTGAAATTTTACTCAGTAATTTTTTTTCTCCCCTCTCCCAGTAGGAATAGATAAGTTTGCCTATTATCTGGTTCACACTCCTCCCTTGACTTTTGAACAGGAATAGAGATTTATCACTTGTTTGCTGTTTAGGATTGGCTTTCTGGTTCAGTCTAAAGTTTCTTCATTCTCTTTTATGCCCAGTAGTCCCTTGCATCTTAGCGGCATTATTGCCTTGCTTGGGGTGAATTGATTAAAAAAAAAATACATGTAGCCATAAACTATACTAAGTTGAGCAAGCACCTTGACATGGTAAAATGGTTAGTAAATTTGTCTCAAAGATGATTATCAAATGTTTCTTAAAATTATTAAACATACTAATAAACATGATATAAAAGTTGTATGTTTATTATAATTTTAATGACTTAGAGATATTTTAAACTTTTTTTTGTTTTTTTTCTTTTTCAGATTGCATAAATTTTAATTTTTTTTTTCCCCCTCCTCCATCCGGTGATTTGAAGTCTCTTGATCCGTTTTCGTTTTTATTTAAATTTCGACCTGCTGCTTCTTGATTTCCAATGGAGACCCAAGCGCAACAGCAAGAGGCTTCTGTGATTGACACCAGACACCGGATCAACTTGATGGAATCAGAATTGGAAGATGCTTGGAAAATGATAAAGGAGAATTCTCCATCATTGCCCAAGCGGCGTCGACTTGAGGACGATACCGTGAGTAGCATCAGTAGCCGAACTGATTCCCCTGTATCCGTGGATAGTTTCATGGATGAAAGTTTTTGTGCCACACCCACCGACAATTCACCCTCACGACCCCCAACATTATCAGATTTTCGGAAACATTACAAAAAAGATGAACTCTGGGCTGCTATTGAATCCAATTATCAATACCTTATGGATGATGAAATTATTGAAACTTGCAGGGTAAGAACTTTTTAATTTTTTGTTTATTCCTAAGTTTAAGTTCAAAGTAGCTATACAGATGACCCATTGCATTTATAGGTTTTGAATTGATGGAAGAGTCAACCAACCCAAGATAAGAAATGTTCAGTGGAGGGGTGTGGAAACTTGCCATGCACTGAGATTCCATGTTCTATGGGAATGAAGTGATGTTGAGGCATACTTAATTCAAGATTTCAACTTCTTGCACAATATGTCATCATTCTTAGTAGATAAGTTTATTACTGTTCTTAGTAGATAAGTTTATTACTGTTCTTAGTAGATAGTTTCCTTGTTGATGGTAAAAGCTCTGGATACTGGCAAAACATCTAGATATATCCAGAAATGTCTACCATACACAAACCCATGTAATGACAGGGGATGCAACTCCCACCCCTTTAAACACAAACACATACACAAAAATAAAATTGTATTGTAGACAAAAACATTTTGATTGATTTTAACTTTTTTTTTATTAATTTGAGCTTTTTCACTTCAACTTTCTGAAAACTTAGACTTTGATAGTTCTGAGGATGGCATTTAAATAGATTAATTTCTTTAAAATTATTTTCAAATTATTGCTACTATTATTGTTAAATCTAAATGGCACAGCCACTCGTATCCAAGGATGCCTATCTACTAGGGCAGCTAGCTAATCCCAGTTGCAGACGCCTGCTCAAGCACATGTTTTTGTTCAACACCTACAGAGACCACCTGTGGTTTATACTGCAATTATGCTGAGTAGACTTTATAGTTTCTGGGAGGGTGCATGTTATCTAGCATGATCAACAGTCTGAACAAGGCCAGCACACTCAAACCCTCAATCATGATGACTTGTGACTTTGTGCAAGCACAACTATTGATGGCTTCCAAGTGTTTTGTCTACCCAATTTCACTTGCAAGGCTTGGGTCAAACTTTGGTATTCTTTTTCAGCACTTTCCAAAGGTGTCACATGCTGGGATTACCTCCTCCAGGCTAATAAACTTCAGCAAGTCCCCTTCCTGACAAATCGACTATGATGAGATTCGAACCTGGGCCATCGTCAAAATGCAAATGTTCTAACCACTCAGCCACATGCCCATAATAATCTACATAGAAGCTAATTTACTTTTAAATCAGCAACAGGAGGCTTGGTACCCCTACTAAATGGTTCAATCCTGGTGCTCTGCTAATTTCTTCTTTGTTAGCTTTTGTATCAGGTGCATGGTGAAGCTTTGCCAATTTTGAGCAAGAAATTGTTGTTGCTATTCTTATCGTTTGGATTTTGTATCTATTCTGTTTTTTTTTTTTTTTTTTTTTTTTTTGTAGTGGGGTTTTAGTTTTGCACCTTTGAAATATATTTTGCAAAGTTTTAGTTCAAGAACAATTTTGCAGATCAGACCATCTATGGATAAATTAAACCTTTGTTTGCAATCCACTGCTGGACTCTTCCTGCTGGCTATTTCACTTTGCCACTAGTTTCTTTAGACTGGAAATAAATTTAACACTCCCCTAAACTTGACAACACTCAAAAGCATCTGTTAGAATCCATTAAAAAAAAAAAAACAGTAAATTTAGTCTTGGATGGAAAACAATGTTTTAATTTTTAAGTGAAAGTGAAATTATTTTATTTTGATTATGTAATAAAATTAGAAGATAAAGTTCAAGGAATTGAATATATTTTCTTGTATAACTATAGAATACTCTTCCTTCGCAAAAACTTAATTTTGATATTTTAAGCGTGATAGCTTTCTGTTGTTCAAGAATTCTTATAAAAGCTATTTTTAATTAAAAGCCAAAATTTGTTAACTTTTTGATCTCTGGTTTTTTATTTATTATCTACTTACTTCCATTTAATTTACAAATGTACAACCCCTGTCAGGACAGACATATTTGTTTTACCTGTCAGTAAGTGAAAATATTCAGGAAACTTTGTTTCCATTCAATTTTAAGAAAATATAAATTATTGTTAATGTTTAGCATGCACAATAGGAATATTTGGAAAAGCAAAGTAGACTGCCATCTTCCATTTAAGAATCATGACAAATTTATTAAGGAGTCTCTGGTGTAACAAGAATATTAATTTATAAAAAAATATTCTTTTATACCCCATGCTGACTTGTCTTAAATCTGATCCACAGTATTTCATTGTTGACATGACATAAGCATTGAATTTTTATGAAGACACAAATGCCTATTTCTAATATCAGCTCTAAGTGAGCCATATGTTGTAATTAAATGATCAATAGGCAGTTTAATGTTAAATTGCTTTTTATATTACTTGTCACCTAAAATTATTTGGGTCATTATGTAAAAATAAGACACATTTTTAGCATCAAATCTTAATTTAACAAAATATTTATTATTTCACTTTATTTTCTGCCATCTCTCATAATTCTACCCTCACAGAACATTTTAACTTTCCAGCAAAGAACTGCTTCAGGTACCATTTTACAGTTTTCCAATGAATTATTTTTTGTTTCTGTAGAGTTTTGTAAAGGCTTGAATAAGTGATGATTGGAAAAACTAATATATAGTGAATATGGTGGAATGAGTGAAAGAATTCCTGCAAACAAGGTGGAATGAGTGAAATCCTCTTGCACGGACATGGCCGGATGAGTGAAATCCTCTTGCACGGACATGGCCGGATGAGTGAAATCCTCTTGCACGGACATGGCCGGATGAGTGAAATCCTCTTGCACGGACATGGCCAGATGAGTGAAATCCTCTTGCACGGACATGGCCGGATGAGTGAAATCCTCTTGCACGGACATGGCCGGATGAGTGAAAACTTGTAATGATTTTTTGCATGATTGTAAAGAAATATGCTGTATGATTAACCTGATGGAATATTGTGCTCTTTCTGTTTTTATGTAATTCTTTATACTTTTTGTTAATCGTTTACCATTACATTCACTTATGAGCTAATACCCTTTCCCAAGGGTATTAGCATGTAATCCTCTTCTTCTCCTTCCAGCTATGGATATCTAGCAGGACAGACTGGGTTCTATAGCCTTGGATGGCAACTGGTCTAGGAGAAGGACAACTCTGAATTCAAAACCTATGGAGGGTTGTTTGGGGACCTTGTGGTGCATAGTGCATTATGTCTCTGTATTTGGCCCTACAAAAAGTGTGGTTGTTTCTACACAAAGCCTTCACCACTAGAATCAAATCATGTGTGCTAGTGTCTGGCTGTTGGATTCCTAGGAACTGAGCTGCTTGACCCTCATACATCAAATACAATGGGAGAATCCACCATTCAATGCACAAACAAATGGTAGATTTATGAATGTGCAAGATGGATTCTGACAAGCAAAATAACTTTCAGCTGTAATCAAATTATGTTATCTCATAATGCGAAAACATTAAAGCTGTTTTTTGTTTTTTCTTTAAATAATTTAAAAATTAATGGAAATAGAGGTTGGACTATTGATTGTTTGTTGGAAAAAAAATTCTTTAGATATTTCTGTAAATAATTTCGTGTTTATGAAATGTCTTTGTTCTCAGATTTTGTTATCATGTAGCAGCCTTAATAAAAGTTGAATTATAAAAAACAATTCTGTATTTAGAAAATGTTAGTATTTATTTTGTCTTCAAATTTTATTGTGTTGAATTATAAAAACAAATTCCATGTTATTCATAGCATTCAGTGATAGAACTACATCTATCAAGTCTGTTAACCTACAAGGAAATTGTCCAACATTCACACCTTATATGAGATTAGATATTATATAGCAGTTGAGTATTATTTTCTTTGTTTCTAAGGACATTTTTCTATACTTTAATTGCTTAATCTTTAACACTCTGCATTATTCACTGATATATATATATTACTGCAGTCTGAATTTTAAGCAAGATGATTTTCACTGTTCCTATAGCAGGCCATAACAAAACCATGGGATTCAAATATAACATTTGTCCAACAAATGGACTAACCTGCAATTAAAGGACAAGCATTTTGCTTTGGGAATAAATCATCTTTAGAGTGCTAATGGTTAATTGCAGAAAGGTATCTTCACTATTACTATGCTTATGGCCATATCATGTTGAAACATCAGTTTCCGAACAATCACCAAAGTTAAACAACATTGAACTTGGTCAGTACCTAGATGGGTAGTCATTTAAAGATACCAGGTGCTGTAAGCTTGGATGTGTGCGGGTGGTATAATGGATAATTGTTAACCGAAGAGCCAAGTTCCAATTCCAGTTGGGTTCATTATATTCACTTACAACCAAATACCCTTGGGAAAGGTATGAATCCACCTCTCTCTGCTTTGGTTATGGTGTTAATGAGTAAGACTTGTATCACTAAACCATTATTACACCCCCCCCTTATAATCTAAAAATATATTCTGGCTTTGAATAGCCTGCAAAAGGTTGATAAGCCATAAAAAATGACTCCATCAAATTCACTATTCCTATGTACCTTTTGGATTTTTTTTTACATGTTTTCTATCATATTTAACTACATTAGATGATTAAATTTCTGCACCCACATTTTTATGCCCCTACAAAGGAGCTCACAAACCCTATCAAAAGCTTTTGTGTAATCTATGAAACATAGATCTTTCTGGATTTGTATTGCTCAATTGGTTAATATTCTGATCATGAAAATCATATTTCACTGCTGCACCCACACCCACATTATTGAGGAGGGTGGCATCAGTCAATTGAGTGGTTTGGTTTAATTTGTTTTACGGCATATCAATCTCAATGGGTTATTTAATGCCAACAACATTTTTAGGATAGATTCGTATGAATAGAATATGTATTCTTTGGTTTAGATTGGTTTGGTTTATTTTGTTTTATGGCGTATCAAACTCAATAGGTTATTTAATGGC